CCCTAGTGTAGGATCAGAATCCATCCCTGGTGCATGAGCAGGCCTTTTGGAGCCCACTTCTATGATGGGACACCTTGAACAGCCTTGAGGCAGGGGAGCAGCTTGGATCTGCCCTTTCTAAGTGTACCTCCCCATGGGAGATCTTACCTTCTTATAGAAGAGAATGGTTGGTGGGTTGGGAGGGTGAGGCTAGAGGGGCACGAGGAGGGAAGAGGAGGATCTTTGGTATATAAATTGAATAAAACATTTTTCTTAATAAAAAATACACAGAAAAAAAACAAAAAACCTATTTTCTCTTTGTTTTATTACCTCAGAAAATTCTCAAAAATCAAGTGAAAAATATCCTTACAATTATATTTCATGAGTCTTTGATTTCATCAATCTATTTTTCTCTTTAAAGTAGTAGTCTTAACTATTAGACCTCATAACAATTTTAAAATAAGGTAACAATTTTTTCACAATTCTTTTCTTATCATCACTTTAATTATTCTTATTCCTCTCAATTTTCTTATACATTTTAGAGATTATTAATATCTATTAAAATTAAACTTTTATTATAATATCCTAGTAATATTGATATTTTGATTCACCAACATTGATTTAGATATCTTTTTTTAAATGAACATTCATTTTCATTTGTAGATTTAGAAACACTCTGAAGCCTTTTGTTGCTTAGTTGTTTGGTTCTGGAACTTGCAATGTAGAACAGGATGGATTTGAACTCATAGATATCTGCCTGATTCTGAGTTCTGAGTGATAGGATTAAATATGTAGCCCAATTTATAATTTATCATTTTTTTTTATTCCAAGAAAAGGTCTCACTATGGAGCTTAGTCTGGCTTTGCAGTGCTGGGATTTCAGGTGTATGTCATCATGCCTTGCCTCAAATATCTAATTACTTTCCAGAAGGTTTTGTTCACATGATTTTCAAGGACAAATCCTCTTAAGCTAAGGTTTCAAAATTATTTGAGTATGGTTTTGTCTGATTCTTTTATTTTCCTTTAGTATCTATGAGGCCTACTAGATCCCAAGGTTGCTAATTTTGTCTTCTTGCTTGCTTTCCCTCACTGTCTGTTTTGATAAATATAGACTAGGTTGAACAATTTCATTATTTTTTAACAAGTTTTCATCGATTTTCTTGTTTTCTGTTGTGTGTTTTTGCCAGCTTTTGTTCACTGTTGATGTTTTGTTCTCCCTTTTTCTTTAGCTTCCTGATGAAAAACATCTAGATTATTGATCCCGGTGACTTATTTCCAGTGTAAACATTTGAAATGAAAATGTGGGTTGGAGGCTGTGGCTCCCACACTTCATAGATGAGTGCCTGTCTACTGTGTTTAAGGCTTTAAGCTTAATTCCAAGCACCACAGTTATGTATACACCACAGTTATGTATATACATATATATGTGATGATATGTGTATAAGTATGTATATATACACACATATATGTATGTATACAATATACAGTATATGTCAATTTGTAACTATATGTATACTTTACATATTGTTATATTGTATGTTTATATATTATTGTATATTTATATATATATATTTATGCTTTGTTATATGTCTACTTTGTTATATATCTCTATGTGTTTACATTTTTATTGAATAAAAATGTTTTCTAAAACTCATTGCAATTTCATTTTAGGAAGTATGCCTTCTTAGAATAGACATGTATTCTGATGATGTGATGTTGAGTACTCTGTGTCAGATTGATTCAGTTACATTGTCAGCACTGTTTAGCTCTCCTGAGAGTATTAAAGTTTACAGTGATATTATGCATATTCTGTCATCTCGGTTCTGTCATGTGTTGTTTGAAGTCCTCTGAAGATTTGATGCTATGACCATGTACTAATAATGGCTCTTGGAGTTTTTTAGTATTTTGAAATCATTAGGTGTTGTTGCGCTTTTAGTTTTGATATGGCTGTTCACTGTAAAGTCTACTTTGATAGTACAGAACACCTTCTACTTCCTTGTGATTAATGCTGTAAGACTTTTCTTTTTAGAAGCAGGGTCTCATGTTGCTCATGTTGGTCTGGGACTCCCTATATAGCCAAGATGACCTTGTATCTTGATTCTCTTTTGTCCATCCACCAAGTACTATGATGACAGACATGTGCCACTGTGTCCTAGAGATCTGTCTTTTCTGATAGTTTACTGAGATTGTATTATTTGAGAGTAAACTGGTCTTACCTTCTAACCATACATAAAATTCTTGCATCATTTACATTTAATGTAATGTTTAAATGTATTTAGATTTGTATTTACCATCAGAATTGAAGCATTTTATGCATTTTATTTAGCCTGTTTCCTGTCTTACATTCACTTGGGAAATTTTAATTATTCAATCATATCTCACTGATTTTTCTTTTTATCATATCTTCTTGATTAATTTTGGGGCATTATCTACATTTTTCAATGGGCTTATTTAACATACCCCAGTGTACATTTCAATGCAGGATCGTATTACTTTACACACGAAAAGGTTTTATTTAAACTTGCTTTAGTGAGGATTCTAGTATATAATAAATATTTCACATTAGTTGGCATTTATGTCCTTGTGACAGGTACAGAATATACCTGACTTGAAGTCTTTGATTAAGCCTCCTGACTCTAGTCTGTTTTTCATAGATACATAATTGTCTCCACAAAGTTTGGCCACAAACATATTGTGATAAAGACAAGGACACATGACTAGTTTCCATGGAATATGAGGCAGATGATGAGGAGAAGGACATGGGGGTTGTAGCTTTTATATCCACATCACAGAGGACAACAAAGAGTCCAGTTAGAACTTTCTGAAGATCTAAAAGTATAGTTGATTAAAAATGAATAAATGAAATCCAAGATGGCTGGCATAGGCTGGAGAATCCACTATCAGATCTATGACACTATTAAGCTCTCACAGGTGTCTTTGTTATGACTATCTTGCCATGGGTATCTTATTTTTATTTCTTCATTTAAGTATATATGAAAATATGTTGGATCATAATTTTATCAAACAATTTGCTTCAAAATGATCTTCCTACAAAACTACCAAGTTCACTCTTTTAAACTCAGGCCACTGTTCTCTTGGCATGACTTGGAAGGCAATCCTTTCCTGAGAAAAAGGTCCTGAGGCTTTCATAAGCCAGACTGGTTCTTTATCCTCATTTCTACTTTAATGTTTTAAAATGTTTTCCAGGAACTTAAGGAAAGTCATGAATAACCAGGAAGGATCGAGTAAATGCCAGGTTTTAGCAGTAGATGAAATCTCTGGAAGGAAAGATACTTTAAATAATCTGATGTGGATATTCTTGTATGTTTATCTACATGTTTTTATCTAAAATGTTAATAGATATTAAAATGAAATGATATTGTTTGATGTCATTTCATGATCCCTGTCTTGTTCTGTTTGTAATCATGATTATATTCCATATTAGGTTTTTTTTTTTTAAAGTTTTTTTAGGAAGGAGCAGTGTGAAGTAACATATTTTTAACACTTGCTGATTTTTACATATGGTGAGTCAAGACTTTCCTTCCTAGGAAAACAGTCCTCTGTACCATCCAGTAGAACAAAGATAGTGAGGATTGATCTTTTGGTATTGCTGAATAAATGCATATTTTGCCCCGCCCCCATTGCAGAAATAAAAAATGCAGAAGTCGCCCCTTAAAGGTTTGTGAAGAATAGATGTTCTCCTAAATTTCTTATTTTCTCAATTAAATAATTGTTGTCTATAATGTAGTACTCTACTTTAGTTGTGGTTTAAAACTGAATCCTCATGAAGAAAACATTTGATAGACATTGCAATATGTTGGCTTGTTTCTTTGACATCTTTTTCCAAGTTCTCACAGATAGCTGTGCTCAAAATTATTTCTTTCGAGATTTTCTTTTCTGACGAGAAGGATTTCTTTTGACACAGGTCAAGCGTCCAGGAACTTTCTTCCTTCTCTGTGATTGTGTGCTGTCAGGGTCCTTGCTGCACTCTGGTGCAGTGCCTTGTTGAATGATGAGTAGACAGCGTTTATTGGGACATAGTCATTTCATCGGAACTACTTTTAGAAACACTCTCTTATTGCTTAACGTTCCTTTCTCATAATTCAATCATTCCATTTATTGAAAACCTATAATATACAGGGTCTAAGAAGACACTAGAAGGAAGGAAACATGGCCCTTGCCAGCTGTTGTACTTTAATAAGGAGAAACTGCCTGAGTAGTGAAGGTGTGGTGATGTTCATAAAACGGTTGGGAACAGAAAGGCTTTTAGCTAATAACTAGCTATTGGCAAGTTTGGGTTGGATATTTGACAAGAACAGCATAGACAGAAATACATGGATTGTAGCATGCCTATCACAAATGTTGTCTTTTGTGTGAATGGCAAGTACTTGAATCCATGTTGCTCATAGAAATCTGCGGTAGAGAAAGAAGGAAATAGGAACCCAGTCATATCCAGTGCAGCTAAGGATTTCCAGCATTCCATTTTACTTCTGCAGCACACATTGTCTGTGTGCCATACTCCAGAGAACCCTAATCATAGTATCACATGTTCATGTCAGATATGGTAATACATGGTCACCACCAAAGACTTTTGCGGAAAGAAATAATGTGATTAGAGTCATGCTTAGGAAGATTCCTTTGACAGAACTCTGGAAGATGGATTAGAGTGGAGAGAGATTGAAAGATAGGAAATAGGTTGTTATATGAGTTATGAGCACAGAAGATTAATAACAGTCTATAATACAATGATGACAAGAGTAATACAAGGGGAGGCTTCAGAAAACCACACACATAGACACATAAAAGTATATCACACAAGTAACTTGTTTATTAGAGGCTGAATTAGTTCTGTAACTAAATGGGGAATACCATTGTAAAAGACAAGTAAAGGATAACGAAAATTTGGAGGTATGATAGTTTGGAACAGGTAGCATTGTTAACCTAAAGGCCAAACAAGAACAATAATATTTCTGCTGTGAATAAAACATCTATCAAAGCTGTAACAATTAAGTGGCCCAGAAATTGGATGGTACAAACAGTTGTCTGGAACCACCATTTCAGAAAGCCAGCCATGTGGTCACAACTTCTGTCTGTGTCTTAGGGTGGAGCATACAGTAAGAAGAAGGAGTAAAACTGAAAAGGGTAAATGCACAGACTTACTGGATGGTGATTACTGTGAATTTTTATGGAATAAAGAGGAATGAGATACTATGGCCCACCTCCACAGAATGAAAAATCTTCCTCTTGATTCCAATTATTCTGATTTCAGATTGATTTTCTTTCCACCACATTAAAATTTTGGGCTACAAATATGCCTAAGTAGACACTGTAAATAAATATTGACACTTTAAGGAACATGAACTATCAAGCATATATTGAGAAATTATCACAGCATCTTTTGAAGTAATTTCGAAACTTCGCTTGTGATGCATGTAGCAGCAGCTCGCCTCTGTAGCCATCCCTCTCTTCAGGTTTTGCAGATGCTCACATTTCTTCCCTCCTTCTAGTAGAGTCTCAGGCTTGTGGAACTTCCCATTCTCTGCTACATAAAAAAAAAGTGGAAGTCCGATTTAGCTACCAGTAAACCACTTCTGTTTTCCCCGTGCTTCCCACCTGGGAGACCAGCATTTATAAAACGGTGGTTTTTCTAGTAAGACTTTGCTTATTCTTGTTGTATGACCTCAGAAAAAAATGACTCGATTTTCCCCATATTATTTTCTTCAACTGTAAAATTGATATGGTAACAATAAAGCCAAATTATAGGGCTGCTTTAAGACTAAAATGAGTCATGCATCCAGAGCACTTAGGAAGAATACCTGGTGTATAATACGTGCTCATTATGTCCTTCTAAGTTACCAAGTGTTCTGACTGGAACAAAGCATTGCACTTGTCTCAGAGTGATCTATGAGCTATCTATAGCTTCGCGTATTAAATAGTTTCTTTATGAAACCCTTTTACCACTTGAGGTCCAACTTTTGATTGTTTTCCTTGCTCGTACAGAAAAATACTTGATAGAAAACAGGTGCAAATAATAGAGAGAAAATGTACTTTGTCATGAACATTCATCTAGTTTTGTAAATGATGGGTCCAGGAAGCATTGTAAACTGACTATATTCAAAAATGACTATTATTCCACCTCAGTATCATTGTCATTGTAAATAAGCAAATTTTATTCTTCCTTCTTTTTGGACATTTCAGTCCTTATAATTGAGACTGGGCATATATTTATATTTGACTCTACAATTACAATGAGATTTTTTTTCCATGTTTGGTATAATTGTAAGAGGAGATGGAAGGTTTGACCCATAATTCCAGTTTTGCTCTTGCTTAATACTCATGCTTCTTTTGTATCTTCCCAGTGCTGTATTTAACAACTAAAAATGAGGATGTGTTATGATGTGTTAATAAATGAAAGGTCCTTCCTCTAAAGGTCACCCCTTAGCTGATGGGATGCTATGTATCTATGTAAACCCTACTATAATCTAAACTCAATTTAGTGTTATTGGAAGAAAAATGAGAAAAGAAATATGTTGTGCTCACATTAGGCTAATGGTACCAGGAAAGCATTCTGCATGTACTTATGCTGTTTGGGAAGATCTGTGAGCAATCAATTCATATTCAATCCTTTTGTCCTCTAGCGCTTCACTGACATAGCAGAGAAGCATAACCTTTGGCAAGAAATGATTGAAAATCACAGAAAAAGATTAAACCAAACTTAGAAAAGTCAACTCTCTGGCTCCTAGATTCGGCCTATAGAGACTAAGGGCAGGGTTCCAATGGAGAGCTAATTACTTAGGAAAAGAGAAATAATAGTATGTGAGGAAAAACAAACTTAAGAACTCCTTTGTGATGAGGATTACCAGCCATTACACATTTCAGAGATAGAGTTGACATAACTAAGAATTTCTATGTATTTTAGGCCCAAGCCTTAGGACAATTTAACATTGGCAGACACACACACACACACACACACACACACACACACACACACACACACAGAAGCTATATGTAGATACACATATTCGCAGACACACACACACACACACAGAGGGGTGTAGCAGGAATCTCAAAAGTTCTTATTAATAACATCAA